CATACAAAGAAAGATGTCGTGTCCGCCGAAAACTAAAAAATAAATATTAAAAAGAATTTCCCCCCTCTCTCTTTTTAAAGGTAGGGTGACTTTGAATTGAGATCCTTCTGCCTCATGGGTTGCTGGGTCACAGGAAAGCACCACCATTCCCAGCTATTTGTTTTTGTGCCAGTATGATTAAGATACCCACAATGACCTAAGAAGATCAATACTTCCTGTACTGAGCAATTTATTGATACTTGGAGACCAATGATAAAACAATAGAACCAGCCATTGGGAAGACTAGGGGTCTTTATTCTTGGAAATCTTGAAAATGTTCTGAAGTCATTATCACTACTGTTCTAGCTTAGAATGAGAAGTTAGTGGAACAAAGTAAACCTATTCTTTGAGGGTTTAAAATGTGATCAATGTAGCCAGGCATGGTAGTGGACACGTAGTCCTAGCAACTCCAGAGTCTGAAGCAAGAGGATCTCAAGTTCGAGGTCAGCCTTACCAACTTAGCGAGGCCCTTAGCAACTTAGAGAGACCCTGTCTCAAAATAAAAAAATAAAATAAAAAGGGCTGGGGGATGTGGCTCAGTGGTAAGGTTCCCCTGGATTCAATTCCCGGTACCAAAAAAAAGCTATGATATATATGACCTTAAAATTTGAGTGGGAAAGCTCATTCATTAAATAGAATAAGTTAGATTGCAGGAAAATATTTAGATTAACATACCATAAAACAAATTACTGATGGATTAATGAGTAAAATATGTTCAAAACAAACCAAGAAAATCCTGAAAAAAAATGGAATAAATGAAGAGATTAAGTGAATTACAAAGGTAAAAATTAACAGATTTTCATATAAGAAAAAAGTTATGTGGACACTGGGCACTTGAGGTTTAGCTCAGTGGTAGAGCACTTGCTTAGTATTTGTGAAGCCCTGAACTTGATCCTGGGCATCAAAAAAAAAAAAACGACAACAATTAAAAAAAAAAACTGAGGATTGCATGTAATCAAAATATAAATAAGCCACATGGGAAAAGCACAGTTGTAGCAAAACTTAAAAACAGTTAATATCTGTTTGATATGAGCTCATCCACAATAATAAGAAAAACCCTAGGATCCCAAAAGATAAATAGGCAAATTAACACTAAAGAAAAAATGCAATTAGGAGCTAGGATTGTAGCTCAGTGGCAGAGCACTTGCCTTGCAGGTATAAGGCACTGGATTCTATCCTCAGCACCACATGAAAATAAATAAATAAAATAAAGATATTGTGTCCATCTACAACTAAAAAAAAAAATTATAAAAAAGAAGAAAGAAAGAAAAATGCAGTTAGGGCTGGAGGTATAGCCACTTGCCTAGTGTGCCTGAGGGTCCTGGGTTCCATCCCCAACACCAGGAAAAAAAAAAAGAAAAAGAAGAAGAATGTAGTTAGCCCATTGAAGTATGAACAAATATTAGTGTCATAGGGAAAGGAAGCAAAATAATATTGTACATCTATTGAATTATATCAGGCACTCTGCCAGCTGCCTTATATACCTTTATCTCATCCATCAATTTTAAAATGAGACTTAGTAACTATGCAGTATTGTAAAATGTAAGACCTGAAAGTACTGTTCGAAAAGACTTAAAGTTGGGGCTGGAGATGTGACTCAAGCGGTAGCGCGCTCGCCTGGCATGCGTGCACCCCGGGTTCGATCCTCAGCACCACATACAAACAAAGATGTTGTGTCCACCGAAAAAACTAAAAAAAAAATAAATAAAATTCTCTTTCTGTCTCTCTCTCTCTTTAAAAAAAAAAAAAAAAAGAAAAGACTTAAAGTGTTTCTTTTGTTTTGTCTAACTAGTATTTATTATTTTAGCTGGCAACTAATGGGGCACACCCATAATCCTAGGACTTGGAAGGCTGAAACAAGAGGATCCCAAGTTTAAGGCCAGCCTTAGAAATTTAGTGAGACCTTGTCTCAAAATTTAAAAGAATAGGGGCTGGGGATATAGCTCAGTTGGTAAAGTGCTTGCCTTACATGCACAAGGCCCTGGGTTCAATTCCCAGAACTAAAAAAAAACAAAAAACTAAAAATAACAACAAAAAATTTGAAATAGAATAAGTACTGGAGATATAACTTAGTGGTTATATCTTGGGGTTCAATCCTCAGTACCCAAAACAATAAAAAATTTTTAAAGTGTTATTTTAGTACATTTATATGGTTCTGAATTCAAGAAATATGAAAGTATACAATGAAAATCTGCTTACCTTTATCCCCCTTTTCTCTCCTCCACCAAAACCACTGTGAATCAATTTCTTGATCCATGGAGAACTATTCTTCCAGAACTATTCTATGCATAAAGAACACGACACAAGTTTTGTTTTGTTTTGTTTGTTGGGCAGTGCTAAGGATAGAACCCAGGCCCTTGTGCATGCTAGGCAAGTGCTCTACCACTATGTCATACCTCCAGCCCAAGAATTTTTTTTACAATTGCATAGTATTTTATTGTATGGATATGCCATAATTTATTTAGCAGTTTGTTTCTTTTCTTTTCTTTTCTTTTCAGTTATACATAGGCACAATATCTTTATTTTGTTTATTTATTTCTATGTGGTACTGAGAATTGAACCCAGTGCCTCACATATGCAAGGCAAGCGCTCTGTTACTGAGCCACAACCTGAGCCCATTATTTGGCAATTTCTATTGAGGGCATTTAGGTTGTTTCTAACATTCTATGATTATAAACCACATCACCGTATACAATATACTTTGCACAACATAGCTTTCCTTGAATAAGTACAAGTATGTCAGTAGGGGGAATTCCTAGAGGGAGAATTTCTTGATTAAAGGTCACATGTCATTTTGTTCGATGAGAATTGTACCAATTTATATTCCCATCAACAGTGTATGGAAATGATTTTTTTTCCTTTCACCTTCAACAAAATGAATATCAGACCTTTTTTTTTTTTACCTTTGCTAATCTTTAAATGAAAAATGTTCCTTCAATGGAGTATAATTTTCTTTTATGAGTGAAAATAAGAATCTTTTTATATAACTAAATAAATTGTTGCACTTTCTTTTCTATAAGCTTTCTTTTGCATGTTTTTCTTTTAAATTATTGGTCTTTTTCTCATTAATTTGTATTATTTATCAGGAAAATGAGGGTTTTTTCTGTGTGATGAGTTATGTTTTTGTTTGTTTGCAGAGCTGAGATTCAAACCCAGGGCCTTCCTCATGCATGCTAGGCAAACAATCCACCACTAAACTACACACCTAGCCTCCCCTCCCTTTTGGGGGGGGTATAGGGGGTTGAACCAAGGGATGATTAACCATTAGGTCACATCCCCAACCCTTTTTTTTTAAATATTTTTTTGTTGTTGTTGGAGTTGGACAGAACACCTTTGTTTTATTTATTTATTTTTATGTGGTGCTGAGGATCAAACCCAATGCCTCATAGTTGCCAGCAAGCGCTCTACCACTGAGCCACAACCCCAGCACCCCCAGCCCTTTTTAAAATATTTTATTTAGAGACAAGTTCTCAATGAGTTGCTTAGTGCCTCACTAAGTTGCTGAGGCTGGCTTTGAATTCACAATCCTCCTGCCTCAGCCTCACTAGCTGCCAGGATTACAGGTGTGTGCCACTGCACCCAGCCAGCCCCTAAATTTTTTAGCAAATTTTTTTGTCTTTTGACTTTAAAAAAAAACTTGTCTTAGTCTAATTGGAGCTGAGAATGCGGCTCAGTAGGAGTGCATCTGCTTAAATGCACGATGCCTTGAGCTTAATCTTCAGCACAGAAAGAGAGAGAGGGAGAAATATTGAAATCCAAAGAAGTGAAATTCCTTGCACAGTGGGTTCTTGGGCTGCCAGCGGCAGGGTCACAGCCAGACCTCTAGTCCTCGTGTCTTGAATTGTCAGAGAACCTCATCTGTAAAGTCGGGGGACTGAGCCAGGTGACATCCACTTGTCTGAAAAGTTTAGATTTACTCCTTTGTCACACAAATTTTCCACGATTGGATAAGTTAAACTGACATTTGTTAGCCTACATAAACCCCACATACTCTGGGAAGGAAGCTCCCCTTCTCAGTTGCATGGTCCCTGTCACTGGCACCACCAGTTATCTCCTGGTTAATCCCTGTGTATTGGTTTACTCATCTGTTCTCCTTTCCTCACACAGCAATCATTCTCCAAACCTGCTTTTTTCCGGCAAAATTCAGAGAGGTGGAACTTCAAACTGCTGGACGCTAGGAAGTTGAGTCGGGATGGAACTGGGTCCCCTTCCAGAATTAGCCCCCCCTCCACACCCAGCAGTCCTGATGACACTTTCTTTAACCTTGGAGACCTACAGAATGGCAGGAAGAAGAAAAAGATCCCCAAGGTAATGCTCACAACCAACTTCATGTTCCAATATGCAGTCCTCCTTCTCTGCAAAGGAAAGCTGCAGGGCAGGCTGGGCAGAGACCCAGTCACTGGGCCCTCTGTTCATTCTGTCACCCACAGGAGGTGACATGGTAAAACCAGAAGGCTAGGATATCTCAGCCTCTGTCCTAATAATTATTGTGGTCTTATATATACACTCCCTCTTAGCCATGTCTCTCCCTGCCTTAACTGTTCTTCAGACCCAGTGTTCTCAGTGCCTGTACTCAAAAGGCCATAGCCTTCTCCTTCTTATCCTGAAAAAGTAGACCTCCATCCATCATGCCTAGACCTGAGACTTTGTCAGGAGCTGGTGCCAATATGTGCCCTGAGGCAACATTTGCCAAAATACATGTTCTGACCAGGCATAGTGGCTCACACTATAATCCCAGTAACTTGGGAGGCTGAGGCAGGAGGATCACAAGATTAAAGCCAGCCTAGGCAACTTAACAAGATCTTATCTCAAAATAAATATTTGGGGGCTGGGTTGTGGCTCAGCAGTAGAGTACTCACCTAGCACAGGCAAGGCCCTGGGTTCGATCCCCAACACCACATAAAAATAAATAAATAAAGATATTGTGTCCAGCTACAACTAAAAAAATAAATATTTAAAAAATAAATAAATATTTGAAAAGGACTAGGGACTTAGCTCAGTAGTAGTGTCCCTGAGTTCAATTAGCAGTACCACAAAGAAAACAAAATCAAAATGTCTTCTGGTCCCTGCCTTCCAAAAGTAAAACATGCCCATGGCTTGGTTGTACATCTTATGTTCTGTTGGTTATGTTGTCTTTTACTCAGTTTAAGCCCTGTAGTGCTGGTCTTTTCATTGACCAGTTTGGTACTGTAGGGGAGGCATTTCCTCTATCTTCTCAGGGAAGATTTGCCTAAAAATTAAACTAACTTAAGGCAGGTTAACAAGAACAATGCATGTTAATTTTTTAAAAATTTTTTTTGTAGTTGTAGATGGAAAGAATGCCTTTGTTTTATTTGTTTTTTTTTATGCTGGGCTGAGGATTGAACCCAATGCATCACATGTGCTAGGCAAGTGCTCTGCCACTGAGCTACAGCCCCAGCCCCTGCGTGTGAATTTTAATTACATGTATGTGGGGAGCCTTCACAAGAAAATGAAAACCCAAAGAAGTTACTGGGCTAAAATACTTACATTCCGAGTTGAAAAAATTGTGGCAATTGTGGGAAAGTAACTAAAAGGTAAGGGTTAGTTTAGCAAAGCTGGTTTGTACAGATTTATCTTGGCCTCACCTTTCTGTCTCTAGTGATAAGAATGTTTTGTCTCTCCCAGTATAGGGAGGGCATCTTTCACATGGGAACTTTGTGTCCAGCTTCCAGGAAGAAGAGGGAGGGTAAGAGTGCCCACCTTACACCTGTGATTTTTAAGATGGGCACTCTCACCCAGAACCCAAAATAATCAGTATACCAAAGCAGCCTGTTCTGGAGTAGGCAGGGTGTTCAGGACCCCTTCTGTACCAACTTGCTTTGGCAACTGTTAGAGTGGGAAGTCCATCGAACTCAGAGCCATGAGCTTTAGGAAGTCATGAACATCATAAAACTTTGTGCAGATAAGTTTGGAGGTCTGAGGGGACAGGACCTTTTCTATATATTACATCACTAAGTTGCTGAGGCTGGCCTTGAACTTTTCATCTTCTTGCCTTAGTCCTCAAATCACCAGGCTTACAAGAATGTGCCAACACTCCTGGCTGTTCATTCTCATTAAATAAGTGGAAGGATGTTTACTATAATTGTCTTCTTTCTTACTGGTTTTGGATATTTTGGGGGGAGATTCTGAATGGGTTTAAAAACCCTACCCCTCAAAATTTGACCAAGTGACATTTGGTTCTATTTTTTAGATTGTGGTAAAATATATATAACATAAAATTTATCATTTTAATCTTTTTTTTTTTTTGGCACTGGGGATTGAACCCAGAGGTACTCTACCACTAAGCTACATCCCCAGTCCCTTTTATTTTTATCTTGAGACAGGGTCTTCTTAATTTGCTGAGGCTAGCCTTGAACTTGCAATCCTCCTGCCTCAGCCTTCTGACAGAAGTTGCAAGTGAGTACCACTCTGCCCAGCTCATTTTAACCATTTTTAAGTGTAACATTCATTACATTCATTGCACTCATATTGTTCAGCAACCAGAACCCCCATCCTTCTCCAGAACTTATTTGTCTCCTAGACAGAAACTACCCATTGTACAATAAGTCTCCATGTCCCCCTGCTCAGCCCCTGGTATCCACTTTCCTACTCTCTGTCTCTATTGATTTTACTATTGTAGGTACCTCACATAAGTGGAATCATTTGCCCTCTGTGCCTGGCTCATTTCACTTATCATGATGTCCTTAGGGTCATTCCATATGGTAGCATATGTCAGACTCTCCTTCCTTTCTGAGGCTGAATGATATTCCTTTGAAGGCATATTCTACATTTTGTTTATCCATTCATCTCTCACTGGACACTTGGGTCGTGCGTACTCTGGCTATCATGAGTAATGCTAACAGTTCATTTATACAATGTCTGCTTTTGTGGGAAATGTAGTTGGAACACAAGGAAAGGAAGAAAAAGGGCCAGTTCAGGAATGTGAGCATGCCAGGGGATGGCTGGATAGTCAGGGTAAATACAAAGTAACTGTCACACAGGCAAGAATTTGAAGGTTATAGAGGAGGCTCATTTGAATCAGGTTCAAGGCAATAGGCAAGGGAAGCACTGGTTGGAAGTGAAGTCTAAATGGCCATCAGAAGTCAGAATGCTCAGGTGTCTAAGCATGTGACAAGGCATTGGGTTCAGCAGACAACAGGAATGGGACTCAGTGCTCCACCTATGGAGAGATGCTGGTGAGCCATTCTGGGGAGCTGATCCAAGGTGGGAAGAATAGAGATAGGGACTGGCAACAGCTGATCACTGCTCTCTCTTGGGACCTGTCCCCAGTTATGCATCCCACTCCTGTTCTTCTCAGCACACCAAAGAATTCCCCACACTTATGTGTCAGCATATAATGCAGCTCCCTTTAAAATTGCTGGTTGGTTTGCTTCAACTGTGCATAGGTAGACCTCTTTCTCTCCCAGCTAGGTTATCTACAGGCTTCCACTTGCTGAAAGGAGCAGGTGATGCTGAAAAGTCTGGGGTAAGGCACCCCAGGGGTTCCATCAGGAGAGGTTCTGCTGCAGGCAACCTGGAGAATGTGCCTTTAGTGATGTGTGTGGAGGGCCTCACCTTGCAGCACTGGGAGAGGTTTAGAGAGTACTTCACAAGTCCAAGGACAATTAAGAACCTTTATCATAGAAGCCCAGGAAGTTAGTACCAGAAGAGACTTTTGAAATGCTTCAGCCTCCTCAATTTTTTAGCTGAGAACACTAAATAATGGAGGCCAAGTGATGGCCACAGACACACCCAGCTAGAGGCAGCAGAGTCCGGAACACTTAAAGCAGATTAAAAAATAAGATTTAAAATAATCATAGAACACAGAAAATAGTTACTACTATACATTTTTGTTCACTAACTTATACAGACAAAAAAAAAAATGTTAAGCCAAACATAATGGCATGTACCTGTAGTCCCATCTACTTAGGAGGCTGAGGCAGGAGGATTGCTTGAGCTCAGGGGGTTCAGGGCCAGCCTGAGCAACAAAGTGAGACACTATCTCTAAAAATAACAACAAAAAGTTATATGACATTGAGGGCTGGGGCTGGGGCTCCTTGGTAGAGCACTTGCCTCACATGTGTGAGGCTCTGGGTTCGAGTCTCAGCACCATATACAAGTAAATAAAAAATTTTACAAAATAAATAAAGGCCTATTGATAACTTAAAAAAAAGGCTATGTAATGTTGAACATAAAGCTATATAGCTTTCTGTGTAAGAAGTAATAAGGGAGCTAGGGATATAGCTCAGTTGGTAGAGTGCTTGCTTTACATGTACAAGGCCCTGGGTTCAATACCTAGCACCACAAAAAAAAAAAAAAAAAGAAATAAGAATAATTTTCTGGTTGTGGCTCAGAGGTAGAGCCTAGCATGTGTGAGGCACTGGGTTCAAACCTCAGCACCAAATAAAATAAAATTAAGACATTGTGTTCACCTATAACTAAAAAATAAATTTTTTTAAAAAAAGAAAAAATTTCTAAACCACACAAAACAACTGATTTTGGAGTTCCTCTGTGTGCAAGGTTCTGAACCACCTGTGTCATGAACATGTTCTGTGTAACAGCAAAACCTAGGGACCCAGCAAAGCAAAATATGTCAGTCCACACTCACCAGATTTCCACACTCTCCAGATTTTCAGGAGAGGAGGGGAGCAAGCACAGGTAACACCAAACTCTTATTTGGTCACCAGCAAGAAGAGCACTTGCCTTTGAAGCAGGTCTGCATTCACCCAGGCAGCTGTCATAGGCAGCAGACAGCTCATCTGCTCTGGAAAATGGTGGGGCCAGAGAGCAGGGGCTCTGGTGGTAGTAAAGGGTGGAAGCCATCTGGGCCAGGTAGCCTTCTAGGAGGCCTGGGATATGTCACAGGTGCACTTTCTTCTCCCCCAGTACTGAGGATTGACCTACATCCTTAACCCTTTTTTTTTTTTTTTAGATGTTGGTGGACCTTTATTTTATTCCTTTCTTTATATGTAGGGCTGAGAATCAAACCCAGTGCCTCACACATGCTAGGCAAGTGCTCTACCACTGAACCACAACTCCAAACTCCCAACCCTTTTTTTTTTTTTGAGACATGGTCTTGCTAAGATGCTGAGGATGGCCTTGAACTTGGAATCCTCCTGCCCGAGTCAGTGGGACTATAGGCATATGTTCCAAGTGTACTTTTGCACCACACATGTGCTACTCTGGGAGTACATGAAGGACCTGTGAGTCAGGAGGAGTGCTCCCATGCGGCGGGATGGTGTACTCCAGTACACAGCTCCATGCATGCCCAAGCGGGGACCCAGGAGCCGCTCTAATCCCTGTTCCCATCCTGCTCGGAGCTATACAGACATTTTTTGAAATGGTTCCCACCATAGGCACCCTCCCTGGGAAATGTTTTTTTCTGTCTCTTCCTTTTTTATTTTATTTAGGGAGCAAACATTCCTTCCCCAGCTACAGTGACATCTCAGGGTGAGGCAGTCACACCATGAGCCAATGAAATTGTCTCTTCATGGTCCCAGCTGGATGAGTTAGCTTGTGAGACAATAGCAGCCCATGTGGCAGTGAGGGGCAGCCTCCTCTGGTTTTCTTGGCAGTCACATTCCCATGTGGCAGAAAAGAATGCCTAGAAGAGCTGTCAGGCAGTGGGAAGTGTGCCCTCCCCCTCCCTGGCCCTCCATCATCCTAGGAGAGAATGGGCAGCAGAGGAAGGCCAGCCGCACCTGGGAGGGGGCCAGGGGCTGCTAACAGTGGCTTTCCCTCTTCTGTGTCTGGCAGCTGGTGTTGCGAATCAACGCCACTTACGAGGCCCGGAGAGGAAAGAAACGGGTGAAGAGGTTGTCCCAGTCCACGGAGAGCAACTCAGGAAAAGGTGGGCCCCCAGCAAGCCCCTGGAATCATTCTCCTAGAAGTTGTGTCCTCTTGTTTCTGGTTTGCTCGCCAGGGAGGGGAACAAGTTGGTGCTTGGTAACTTTCTGCCATTGTCCTTAGGATGGCAAACAGCAAGGAGCGCAGCCTGGGTGGTACATGCTCTGGCTTCCTCCGCAGCCTCCTTCCAGTCATCAGAGGCCTGGATGCCCTGGCCTGCCACGGTAGCTGTCTTCTGGCTCAGCAAGCCTGAAGGGCCAGTGTCGCTTGCTGTAATATTTGATATAAGAGCCATCTTAACCCGAATATTAATTTGGAAATTACCTAGTATTAATTTGGGGATATATTGAATTAGACAGAGTTTGTGTCACATTTAAACAGATGACAAAACATTTCCTCTAAACTAGAAATTTGGGGTCTATTTCCTGCATTAAAAGAATTCACATCGGGCTGGGGATGTGGCTCAAGCGGTAGCGCGCTCGCCTGTCATGCGTGCGGCCCGGGTTCGATCCTCACACCACATACAAACAAAGATGTTGTGTCCACCAAATACTAAAAATAAATAAATATTAAAAATTCTCTCTCTCCCTCTCTCTCACTCTCTCTTTAAAAAAAAAAAAAAAAGAATAGGGAAGCTACCTGAGATTTCTTCAGGAGCTGCATTTAAAAAATAAAATAAAAATAAAATAAAATAAAAAATAAAAGAATTCACATTTGCATCTTCCTTCCTTGCCCTTTTGGTCTAGTGACAGACGAGAACAGTGAGTCTGACAGTGACACCGAGGAGAAGCTGAAAGGTAAGAAGAGCAGCTGCTATGCGGGGCACACACAGGTGACTTGGAAGCCACAAAGATGGCCCTCCTCCCTTGTGTAAGGGAAAGATGTGTGCTGCCCAGGTTGCTGTACAAGGTGTGAGTGTCTGAGAGGACAGTGGGACCCATAGGTTGTGCAGAGGCAAGCCAGCCATGCACCGGACCACAGGGACGGTGCTGTTACCCAGCCTGCAGCTCGGGGCATCTTGCTCCTCATGCGGCTTGTGAAGTTGTTGAAATAACTCATCCCTGCGGGTCTGACATTTGGTGATCCACGTCCAGGCTCTACTGAGTTTTCCAAGATTTCTCAGGCTCCAGGGAGAAGCCAAAGAAAGCAAGTCAGGGATGCTGAGTAAAGTGACCTGGACCTGTCCACTGGGCAGCCTTGCCTCATTCACCTCTGCCATAGCTGCTCCCTGGCCACCTCTGGAATGAGCAGTGTGTTTCCATTGGCAGGAGAAGAGGGAGATGTGAGGTCCCAAATCAGTCAAGCCTCTGCCAGTTGAGCCACACAGGATGTTTACAAAGCTCACAGCCCCAAGAGCACGATGGCCTGGCTTTTATCACATCACATAAACTGAAAGATGAGGGGGATGGGGTACGGGAGAAGTTAGGTCCCCATCCCAAAGACAGATGGAGGCAAGGTCTTCATCAGCCTCTACCTTGAGGCCAGACAGCAAATCCCTGGCCGAGTCCCGCAGTCTCAGACTCCCCACCCTGATTGGTGCTGCCCATCAAATGAGAGCTGCGCCTCCCAGAGATTGGCAAGGGTCCAAAAAAAGAGTTTTCTACTAATTTGTTAGTTGTAGAAGCATTCTAGGGATTAGAAGAAGGACCGGAGTTGGGGGTTACATGACCTGTGTACTGTGCGGCCACATTAGCAAGTGAGTCACTGCGGGGCCCTGGTTTCTGTCTCCCCAGCTCACAGCCAGCGCCTGGTCAACGTGAAGTCTCGCCTGAAGCAGGCCCCTCGGTACCCACTGCTTGACCGGGAGCTCATTGAGTACCAGCAGAGGCAGCTCTTCGAGTACTTTGTAGTGGTGTCTTTGCACAAGAAGCAGGCCGGGGCTGCATATGTGCCGGAACTGACCCAGCAGTTCCCTCTGAAGGTATGGGGAGACTCTGTGGGCTGCCCAGGGCTGCCATATTCTCATAGATTCAGGGAAGTGGGAAAGTCTGAGGAAAAACTTGGGTCTAGAACCTTAAAAATGTACCCTACTTAAGTCTAGCAAGTTTAAAAAAAAAAAAACAAACTGCTCCTAGAGAATGACCAAAGTTCCTTGGAGGACAGATTCAAGGACTCAAGTACAGGCAAAAATACTTTCTCACTCCCTGACCATCCCACCACTCTGTTCTCCTTTTTTTTTTTTTTTTTTTTTGTGGTATCAAGGATTGAACTCAGGGGCATTAAACACTGGGTCACATCCCAGCCATTTTTATTTTTTATATAGAGACAAGATCTCTTAGGGCCTTGCCGCATTGCTGACACTGGCTTTGAACTAGTGATCCCTCCTGCCTCAACCTCCCAAGTCTCTGGGATTACAGGTGTGTGCCACAGTGCCTGGCTCCCATTCTCTTTGTCCTCCCCCAGTCTTATCCAGCCAGGTACAACTCTTTCCCACCTATCCTGCCTTCTCCCCTCAAGCTACACAGCTCTCCACAGGTAGTGTGACATTTGTGTTTGTGCTGAACATGTGCATGTGCATGCAGGAGAATTCCCTGTTTGTGTATGCAGGAGAATTCCCATTATCTCATGATTCATGGGGATGTGGGTTTGGATTTACCGTCTATTAAATCACGGTACCTAAAATAATGATGCTACTTAATAAAACCTACAGTGATATGGCAAATAAAATATAAATTATTCTTGACTTTGACATTAGTATTAAAGTGATTCTACCATATTTTAATCCAGTTCAAGCAGAATTTATGAAGAACATCTGACATTGAGGGGCTGGGAATGTAGCTTAGTTGTGGATACTCGCCTAGCATTCTCAAGGCCCTGGGTTTAGTCCCTAACACAAGGAAAACAAACAGAAAAGCTGTTTTCTACTTGCACCTGAGAGATTACAAAGATGAATGAAATGGGTTTTCTGTCCTCAAGGAGTTTACATTCTGACAGAGGGCATAAGATAAGCATACCAAAAGCATAAATAAAAAAGGCAGACAGGACTTCATAAGGTAGAATGTGATGGTCATCACATCATGCGCACTCAGGCGGGGAGCATCCCGCTGTTTCGGAGTCTCACTACCCCAGCCTAATCCCAGCTCCTGTGAGCCTGGGTCCCAGCCTTCTGCCTCTCCTTCCACAAGCCAGCCTTTCTTTCTTCCTGCCTACTGCGGACAGCACATCAGTCAAGACCCCTCCTTGGCCTTGAGAGAAGTGATGAAAATGGAAGCAAACCACGGACACAGGCACAGGCCCTCTAGACTGTCATCTATTCCTCTTCCTGCAGCTGCCACACCTCTAAGGAATGAGCCCTGAAACCCCACTGCCATGCATTAGCCCGCTGGGGCGCTGCCCCATGGAGAAGCTCAGGTGGACTGACACCAAGGCATGAAGGACTGTCCTGTCATCCTTGGGACCCAACACATCAGTGTTCCAGGAACAAAGCATGAAGTCATGAATTAATTAGTGAATCACCAGAACTGCTGACTGTTTACCATTTCTATCCTGGAGTCTCCAGACTCCCAGACATTCCCATGAAAACCTTTTTTTAGTAGAAAGTTATAAAATCACTGTTGAAAAGAGACTAATTCAGAAATGTGTAAAGGAAAAAAAAAAAAAAAACATCTATAATCCCACTACACTGAGATCATGCTTGCTAGCTTTTGTTATGTTTTCTTCTAGTCTTTTCCCATAGTATAATTTTCTTTTGGGATCATACATTGTGTGATTTTTTTTTTTTTTGGATTAGGGATTGAATCTAGGGGCACTCTACCACTGAGCTCCCCACCACCTCAGCCTTTTTATATTTATTTTTATTTCGAGACAGGGTCTTGCTAAATTGCCCAGGTTAGCCTCAAACTTGCAGTCCTCCTGCCTCAGCCTTCTGAGTCACTGGGATTATAGACATGCACTGCTGTAGTTAGCTGCAAGGCTGGTTTTGGGGGTTTTGTTTTGTTATTTTTTTAGTGGTGCTGGGGATTGAACTCAGGACCTTGTGCACATGAGGCAAATAGTCTACCAACTAAGCTATATCCCCAGCCCCTACAAGACTGTGGCAAGCAATTGAAACAAAATAAGAAATTGAAGGAAATTATTACAGGAGGAATTTGTTAGACATTATAAATTCGTAACCTCAGAAATTCAGATATATGGTATTGCAAATGAATGAAGGTAACTTTAGCACAATGTTTTCCTTTACTTTTTATAAAGGAAGTCTAACAAGTGTAAACCTATAAAAAACAAACAAACAAAAAACCTTACATTTCTCAACACTTAAAATTACAAATTAAAAGGCCAGATGCAGTGACACATGCATTTAACCCCAGCAGCTCAGGAGGAGTCTAGTTCAAAGCCAGCTTCAGCAAAAGTGAGGCACTGAGCAACTTGGTGAGCCCCTGTCTCTAAATAAAATACAAAATAGGGCTGGGGATGGCCCAGTAATCGAGTGTCCCTGAGTTCAATCTCTGGTACCCCTCCCCAAGAAATTACAAATTGAGGGGTTCAGGGCTTAGCTCAATGGTACAGTTCAGGCTTAGCATGCTCAAAGCCCTGTATTCGATCCCCAGCACCAAAAAAGAAAGTACCAATTGATAAATTGACATGAAGCTTGAGTAATAATTAGATAAATGATAGAAATGATAATTAGAGAATTATAAATTATTCCTTTTTATCTCCCAAACAGATTCCTGTTCATACACAAAAGAAGCAAACTCGGACTTTGTCTATAGATCAGACTTTAATTCATCTTGTTCCTTAACAAGATATCCACCCAGTCTGTGGTGTGTCAGATACTGTCCTGAGTGCTGGGTTATCAGAGAGAGATTTAAAAAAAAAAAAAAAAGGAATAAAGAAAGGCCAGAGATTACAATCATTTTTCTTACTTACTCTAACACTAGCTGTGCAATCTGAACAGATCATTTACCTTCTCAGGATGTATTTTCTGATCTCTGAAGTGAGAATGGTGGGCTGGACACTCTTTGAAACCAGTCGAATTTTACAGTGTAATATAATTTTAGTGTCTATATTGACTGTAAATAGTGTACCATTCTTTGGTGGGCCCAGAGATTGGGAAACCAGCTCGAAGCTCTGGATCCTGGAACCTACCATCTGGAGGGCTTGCCATGGAGCTTTCCCTTACTTATTGGAACACATTTCATAATGGACTTCAGTTGGAACTGCCCCTGGGGAAAGGCCCCACAGACTGAGCACAACCCTTCCTAAGGGAGGAGGTTAAGTAAGGGGCAGTCACAGCTGCAGAAAGGTGGGAGACAGGAGCCTCGTCACTGTCCAATGCCAGAGTTTATTCTTGAACCTTCTTGCACCTTTCTCTCTACAGTTGGAAAGGTCTTTCAAGTTCATGAGAGAGGCTGAAGACCAGCTGAAGGCTATTCCCCAGTTCTGTTTCCCTGATGCCAAGGACTGGACTCCTGTCCAGCAGTTTACCAGGTACATGCTGGCCTCTCCTCTTCTCACCCCCAAAGACTTTTAGGCAGGAATTAAGAGATGGGATTATGGGGCTGAGATTGTGGCTCAGCAGTAGAGCGCTTGTCTGGCACATGCGAGGCCCTGGGTTCAATCCTCAGCATCACATAAAAATAAAATAAAGATATTGTGTCCAACTACAACTAAAAAATAAATACTAAAAAAGAGAGAGAGAGAGAGAGATGGGATCATGGATGGCAGACCCCCTAGGTCAGTCATATCATTAAGCAAACCTGATGGGCTCTGGCCTAAGATTTCCCCTGTGCTATTTTTAACACTTCCCTGAAATGAGATCACATTGCTACATGTGCAGTTATAGGGCCTCAAAGGCAGTCTGGGTGTATGTGTTTTTTCATGTGCCTTATGAAGGGAATTCTTAGTCTGGGCAAAGAAGGAAGCAGGCATTGCCTGTCACCACCCTTACCCAGTGCTCCTGAAACATTTCTTCTACCTGTTGCTTGGATTGCGATCAGTTTACATTTCTACTTTAGCCCACATTTTAAGATGTCAGTATTTCCCTTATCTGCTGCTTCCACAGTTTACCAAGCTCAGTAGGCCACCTATCCTGTGTATCCTTGAAGGTGGCCTAGCAGTCTTCAAGAACAGTCCAAGCCTTAGGATAGTTGATACAAACAGTGCCCTGAGAGAGCTACACAAGGGCCAGTGCTGAGAGGCCCAGAACTGTCCTATCCTCAGCTACTCCCTCACGGCGTCACATCCCTCACCCTGAGGCTCGCAGAGGACAGTGCCTATCCCTTCTCCCTCTACTCAGCCATAATAGTAAATGACAGTTGTATTTTATTCAATGGGATGGCTCAGGTGATAGAGTGACATGAGAATTCAGCATGAAAAAAAAAAAAAACTCATTTTCTCTCACAACATGTGGCATTATAGATCTTTGCTTGCCTGACATTTACTCCAAAACTGTGACCACAGTCTCAGCAGAGAAGGACAGCAGGTTAGAAAGCAACTCTTCTTGACAGCCCTCCAGCATATCCCCTGGTGCCCTCCATGTGGCGCCTCTTGCTTTGTTCTGCTTCATGATGCTTGTGTGCTTCCCCCCACAGTGAAACCTTCTCGTTCGTATTGACTGGAGAAGACGGGAGCAGAAGGTTTGGTTATTGCCGGAGACTACTGGTTAGTAGTTTGCTCTCAATCAGCTGCCCTGTGTGGATAGCCAGGTCTGAGATGTGCATATGCTGCAGGAGAAGGAATAGGAGGTGTGGCAGGTTCCCCAGGGCAGTTACAGACAGATTTGAGGACTCATCTGAGTATTTTTCGTAGGTGGAAGTAATATCTCCATTTCTATCAAAAGGAAAATACTTTATTTTCCCACCAAATTAAAGACTCTCCTCCTCTCCTTTAGCCATATGTCATTTTAATGTAATGTGCTAAACAGACCTGAGTGCTTAGTGAGAACGTTCAGAATGGTTGCTAAGGAGAGAAAACTCAAATAATTCAAGAGTGGCCCCTACGGAACAATCACCTTTAAAAGTCAGAAACTTGTTCCAAGGAAGTGATCATGCTAAAACATTTTATAATTTGTCTTTTTGAGGCCCATTCTTTTAAAATCATTAGAAGTGATGAATCTTTTTCCACTGCAAGCGTATTTGAGTCTTTGAAATTGGCTAAAAATTGTTGAGTCAAGTAATGCATGGCACATAGTAGGTATTCAATACATATTTGTTCAATTAATTAATGGGTAAAAAATGTGGCTAACAACTGAAAACATTGGGGGCTGGGATTGTGTCTCAGCGGTAGAATGCTCTTCTAGCACGTGTGAGGCCCGGGTTCAATCCTCAGCACCATAAAAAAATAAATAAAAACAAAAATAGAAGTTTTTTAAAAAATTTAAAAAGTTAAGTGGGATAATAATTTCTATTGTTCAAATTACTTTTAAAGTATTGAGACTGATTTTTCTTTTGCTTTGAAAATTAGCTTAAAAGTCTATTTCCAAAAACATCTTCAGAAATTATTTTTCACTTGGAATTATCATTATCATAACAGATATTCTCAAAATAATCCTCAGTAGTAACTACAGTGATATGGGTAAACAAGGTAATAAGCTTCTTTCCTTTGTAGTTCTATAGGCCATATTGAGTACCTGCTGTGTGCATAGCACCGTTAATTTGGGCCCTTCAGGAGAATGAAAATATATATAATGTGTAGCTAGAAGTGCTTCCTGACTGATGTGGGGTGCTGATAACTGCTCACCTCACTGTTGTTCAGAAGATACCTCATGATCTTCTGGCACATGATGGACAGCTCCAGGGACTTTCCTCCCGGAGGTTGCTAATGCTCCTCTTGTCCTTCTGTTTCTCTACTCAAAGCCTGGAGGCAAAGGGAAGCGTCTTCCTGAAGTGTACTGCATTGTGAGCCGCCTGGGATGCTTCAGTCTCTTTTCAAAGGTGAGAACTTGGCCCTGAGAGGAAGCAGTGGGAAGGAGAGGCAGGGCCCAGAGGACCTGGGGACAGACCTCCCCAGCTCCTCATGACTGTCTTCTCTGTTTGCCTTCCTGTTTCTTTATTCCCGGCCTCACCTCATTGTCACCTCTGTCCTCTCATCTTTGGTTCTGGAGGATGGGCTCAGAAAGTAGAAGAGGGGAGAGGGTAAGGTAATGGAGTACAGGGAGGGCCAGGCAGAGGAGCTGCCCAGAACCTGCCAGGTGTTTTACTTTCCTTCTTTTAAGCATTATTTGTCATATTGGTTTTTGCTGGGGAAAAAAAAATAATCACAGAGATTCATGTATGTATGTATAGCTTTCTGAATCTGAGTGTTGTATGCATATGTGTGAGATTTATTATTTTTTAAGTGTTCTATGTTTATCAAAATATTAATAATTTGGTTTATTCTGGAAAATGAACCACTATATCATGACATGAGAAATGCTATATTAATTTAGCTCATCCACCCAATATTCTATATTGATGTAGAACAGAATTTTTATCCTATGTGATGCTGATATCAAAAGTTGGGTAAAGGGGACTGGGGATATAGTTCAGTGGGGGAATGCTTGCCTAGCATGCTCAAGACCCTGCATTTAATCCCTAGCACTATAAAATTTTTTTTACTATATATAATCCAACCTTCATTTCCTGTATTAATCAGACATGAATATCTAATCCATTAATTTATTTTAAATCCTGCCTGTATATATATGTATGTGTATATTTATTTATTTATTTATTTATTTCAGTCTGAGCTTCTTTTTCAGTCCCTAAATCTGTGTGGGTGGATATATGCTTCCTAGAAGCATTTCTGAACAAAAGTCTACTTCCTGCTCACTCTCCTTCTGAGTTCAGTAGAAGCCTGAGTTATAGGGATATAGAGGGGACCTCTTGCCATAGTAGAACTTGATCTGCTAGACTTCATGCCATCAGTGTGATCTGAGATGTAGTATCTCTGCTGCACCAGGGGGCAGTTGCTTCCCACTCAGGTTGGTCACTTATAGCTCTTGCACAGTTGCGTATTGCTGCCCAGGTCAGCCTTTCACAGGGGTGTGCTCAAGTGTGGAATTGGGCTGCAGGTCATAGTGTTTGTGCTGAGAAGGCCTGTGGAGCTGGAGGTGAAACAGCTCCTATGAGCAAGTCCAGCTTTGGCCACCAGCAATAATGCTGTGATCAGTACTCACATACACATGTTTATATGAACATGTTTTCATCTCTCTTGGGTAGGAACCTTGGAGTGGCTATGTGCTAGGTTGTATGGTGACTTTGTTTAACCTTTTGAGAAACTGCCACAGTTTTTAAAACTGGCTTGACTAGTTTACGTTCCTACCAGAAGCATATGAGGATTCTAATTTCTCAATTTCCTTTTCGACACTTGTTATTATTGTTTGATTAAAGCCATTCTAATGAATGTGAAGTGATAACTAATTGTGATTTTGATTTATATTTCCCTGATGACTACTTCAAGTGAATTTTTAGTTCCACAAATAAATCATGTATCTGTTTATGTGTTATGGCCCCTTAGAGGGCTACAATCCTTTATAACATCTAAGTTTCTTTACCACCTTCCCAAGAACCAGTTTTTACACCACTGGGGACAGTATCAGTCCCACTAAGAATGAACACAGCAGCCCAATAAGTCACATGCCAAACCCAGAGTGAAGAGGCAAGGAACTATACTTCACCCTTTAGTACTAGGAACTACAAAGTCACACTGCAAAAGCAGCAGATACAGAAGGGAGAAGAATTGACACCGATAATGCCTTGAGTCAGAGCACTTGTAATCTAAATGTGGCCTGATGAGGTCTGCAAGTCCTCTCCATAATTCTCGAGTCACCATGGCAGGCCCACTCCCTCTAGGATTGAGCTACACCTTGGTGCTCTGACTTCAGAATCGCTGAGCTGCTTTCCTGATCCTTGCAGATCTTGGATGAGGTGGAAAAACGACGTGGCATCTCTCCTGCCCTGGTCCAGCCCCTCATGAGGAGTGTCATGGAGGCCCCTTTCCCAGCCCTGGGCAAAACCATTATTGTTAAGAACTTCTTGCCTGGTTCAGGGACTGAGGTGAGTAGTTGGGTTCCTTTCCTCTCTAGGAAAATGGTCCAGTCAACCAAGTCCAGTGGTCAGAAGGGCTGGGTTTCAGCAAACAATCAAATTCAGTTCTCGACCTTGCTCCTCGGATGGGTCCAGATTACTCCCCAGAAGTTCCACACTCGGTCCAATCCATTCAGCCCAGGCTTCCACCCCAGGGCAACCTCTAAGAACCATGCTGTGGGGGGCACATGCATTACTTTGCATGATATTGGCCTTACTGGTCACTGAGCATCTTTACTTTCTCTTAATTGCCCGTAGTCATTCATAAATCTTATTTGAACCTATTTACATTTTGTATCTACATCCCCTCTATAACTTTTCATGTAAAACAGATTCTTTTTAAGCTCAGGGACTATTGTTTATTCAGCTTAGACTTTGAAGCATGTCCATTCCTTGACCAGACTGGGATTTGATGAAGGAGCTTGTTTCTTGTTGTTGTTGTTGTTTTATTTTTTGTTTTTTTAATATTTATTTTTTAGTTGTAATTGGACACAATACCTTTATTTTTTTATATATATTTATTTTTCAGTTTTCTGCGGACACAACATCTTTATTTTATTTTATGTGGTGCTGAGGATCGAACCCAGCGCCCCATTCATGCCAGGCGAGCGCATTACCACTTGAGCCACATCCCCAGCCCCAATACCTTTATTTTATTTATTTATTTTTATGAGGTACTGAGGATTGAACCCAGGGCCTCGCATGCACCAGGTGAGCGCTCTACCCCTGAGCCACAACCCCAGCCCTGAAGGAGCTTATTTTTACCCTTCCCATCTTCTTCATGTGGCTCCATGGACATCAGAAAACTGATCCCATTTAGCCTGGAGTCTCTACTTCCAAAGGCCCTGGCAAAAGTAGGTCACTTCTGGAGACAAAGGAAGGATGAGGTTGAGACTGAGACATTCTAAACAACCCAGTTTCCCAGCACAGAGAGCTGTTGCTAGCGAGCCTGAAACCGTCCCATACCAGTTACAGGTGGTTCAGCCATGGGGTGTAGCAGGAGGTTTGCCGTGAGTGAGACCCGTGTAGATAGAACACTGGGCATGTACAATGCTAAGAGTAAATTCTAGTCTCTGTTCAGCTCACCGTGGAGGAGTCAGCTCCTTAAAGGGGAAAAACATGGGGTGAGAATGTCACTCAGTGGCAGAGCGCTTGCCTAGCATGCATTAGTCCCTGGGTTCAAACCGCAGTTCTTCAAAAAAGAGAAACACATGAGTAGCAACTTGATAGATTCAGGAACAGCAACTATGGAATGATGTACACACTGAGTATAGATGAAAATATATCAGAACATGATTGTAATGGGACTAGGAAGAATTAAGAAATATCTGGCTGGGTATGGTGGTCCACACCTGTAATTCCAGCTACTTGGGAGGCTGAGGCTGGAGGATCACAAGTTGGAGCCAGAAAAAAAGAAAGAAATGCCTTCTCAAGAAGTGCATCTTGGGCTGGGGATGTGGCTCAAGCGGTAGCGCGCTCGTCTGGCATGCGTGCGGCCCGGGTTCGATCCTCAGCACCACATACCAACAAAGATGTTGTGTCCGCCGAGAACTAAAAAATAAATATTAAAAAAAAAAAAAGATTTAAAAAAAAAAAAAAAAAAAAAGAAGTGCATCTTAGTAGTGCTGCTCAGGCCTGTGCCTGTGATTCTGTTTCAGCAGGTAATAATCCCCGTGAGACAATGGCATTTTCAGTGGGGACACTAAAGTCTAGGCCATTTTCTAATAGTGAGAATTCTCCATGGGGAGTCTAGATGTGTTCTTAGCAAGGGGGAGCCTCCTGATATTTTGGGAAAAGGGCTACTGATTCTGACATCCACTTTTCTGGCCTCCATCCAAACTGTCCTCAGTTGAATGTGAGGCATGTGCTTCGCTCCCCAACTACCTCCTTCTCCTTCCCCAGTCCCTTTTGTTTTCCTCTCTTTTCTTCCTGTTCCCCTGCCAGTGGGTCATCCCTGCTGGGGACCTCAGAGCCCCAGGGACTGTGTACACCTGGGAAAGGTCTGGCTGACAGGTGGCCTGCCTTCATAGCTGCTCTGTTCCCTGGCAGGTGATCGAGCTGTGCCGCCCACTGGACTCCCGGCTTGAACACGTGGATTTTGAGTCTCTCTTCTCCTGCCTCAGTGTCCGCCACCTGGTCTGTGTTTTTGCCTCCCTGCTTCTGGAAAGGAGGGTCATATTCCTTGCAGACAAGCTCAGGTACCACTTTGGATCCTTCTGCTGGAGTGTGTGAATGGCCTTAGATTTGAAGTGTGTAGAACAGGCAAGGTTCAGGGGAGAGCTCCTGTGGGTAAGAGTAGGAGGCAGTGGCTGCTGATGTTGAAGGCCTAGAAGACACTAGTGACCTAAGCCAAGGCAGGCTCCCTGCCTACTTGCCACGGGTCCTGTTGTGCACTAGGCACTCTGTTATGTGTGAAAAAAACAGTGGGGTAAAAGGCACAGACCTGACCATAGTTCTCAGTCCAATGAGGGGAACAGGAAAGTAACTGGACACACCATGTTGGGAAGGCTCGTTAGATGCGGTTAGTTGTGGAAGTGGATGGAGGGCCCTTGTTCCCAGGGGAACTCTCTGTACAAAGGCAAGGAGGCAGGAAGCCTCACACATCACATTCAGGACTGCAGAGGAGCACTCTGTGGCTAGAACAGAGAAGGTGAAGCAGGCAGAGGTGGAAGGATTGCAGGGCAGAGGAAAGAGTGCAGACTCACCCAAAAGGCTTCCCTCTCCTCATTACTAAAGGAGATCACACGGGGCTGGGGATGTGGCTCAAGCGGTATCGCGCTTGCCTGGCATGCGTGTGGCCTGGGTTCGATCCTCAGCACCACATACAAACACAAAGATGTTCTGTCCATCAAAAACTAAAAAAAAAATAAATATTAAAGGAGATCACACAACATACACAGCACTCACTGCCCCTCAGGATGCCACCCAATCCCCGTGGTCATAATCCATGATTTGTAGATCAAAGAAGATCTGGAAGAAATGCAGAGAAGTGTTTGGGTGATCTCTGAACTTCCAGCAAAAGAAGGTCTTGCTTTTTCGTCATTTCAAAACACGGGCTCTTAACCTTCTTACCTTCTTCGCTTTGGAATGAGGGCACAGAAGCCAGAAGTGTGCATGCAGGTGGGAGCTACAGCTCCAGGAAGGGCCAAGATGTGGAGTCCTCCAGCCAGCCAGGCAGAGGGGGCCACTGAGAGGTGCATCTGGAAAGAAGATATGGCAGAAGAAGAGAAACCAAGTAACAGTGGCTTAAAGAGGAAATAGGACTGAACTGCAGAAAACAAAAGAGAAGAAGAAAAGAAAGAATGGAAAGGACAAAATGTATCAACATGGAATTCATCAGGGGGTGTGGGAGGAAATGGCATCCAGCCCTCCCCTCCATTGCAGCCATCTGGTCACCTTCATGATGCTCCTCTTTGGACAGCAGCCATTTGGCTATTCCCTGATGGCCCCCACCCTGTGTTTGAATTCACTTTTAAATGTCACAGTTACTGTACTCCCTGTGCACTTGTGTCAGGAAACAGGCCCTGTCTTTAGCCTGCAGCTGGTGCTGGGTGCTTGGCAGCTCTCCAGGCTCCCTGGGCACTGGGGAATTCAGCCAAAGAGTTCTCAAGGTTGGGCCCTGGATACTAAGGATGAGGAGTAACCCTTCAGTGACCAGGATGGGGTTTCATTAGCACTATAGTAACCGTCTTGATTCTCTGGAAAGCTCACTCAGCCCCTCATTCTCCCCAAACTGTTGGATTCTCAGGCTTGGATTTGGGGGAGAGAAAAGTGATAGATTTCAGAAAGACCTAGGCAGGAAGTGGAAGTCCAGCTGAGTAAACCTGGTGTCTGCTCGGAATAGAGCTGGGGACACAGTCCCCGGAGAGCTTGTATCTGGGATGAAGATGTTAGACTTGGGGAGAGCCCAGACTGAGAAAATGCCTGAGTTGATGAGTGTTGCTGGAGTGGAACAACCAGGGGGTACCCCACCCTCATGAGAGCAGGAAACCATCTAGTGCAGTGAAAGGAGAGATAGGAACAGAAAGGGGTAGAAATGTAAAGATGCATATCTCCTTGAGGGGCAGTATGGGAGGTAATCTCAGAAGGCTCAGTGCTTTCTACAAGGTGTCTGGGGAAGGACACAACCACCTCTACCTTACCCTTGGACAAATTTTCTGGGTGGACAACCTGGATGCTGGTCCAACCCCTCCACAAAGCTGCTGTGAGGAAGGACAGAGGAACAAGGAATGGACCCTGCCCAGAGTCTCTTCCCTGGCCCCACTCCCTACCCTGTCTGGGGCAGCCTTATGGAGGAGACAGGTCACCCACAGGGCTTCATAGAAGGGACTTTGAGTTTGTCTCCTTGCCCTGCCACCTGTTCTCCTTGCCTGGGATTGTACCCTTAGAGATGTAGTCTTTTCAAACAGCACGTGCCCAGGAGAGGGGCAGGTAAGCTGTCAGCTGTGCTGCCGGCAGTTCTCACTATGCCACACGCCACGAGTCATGTGCTTCTTTTGAAGCAACTGTCAAATCCTAGGTGCTGTGGAGTGGATTTTTGTAAGGGAGGAAGAAGCAGCTGGAACATGGATAATTTCAGTGCTTCCTCTGGGCAGAGCTAGGCCATGGTACAGTGTGTGTGCACGTGTGTGTAAAATGCTTTAAAATTGCATTTTTTAAATTCATTTTTAAATATCTTCATTTGAATTGAACCCAGGGGCACTCAACCACTGAGCCACATCCCAGCCCTATTCTGTATTTTATTTAGAGACAGGATCTCACTGAGTTGCTTAGTGTCTCACTTTTTCTGAAGCTGGCTTTGAACTTGCGATCCTCCTGCCTCAGCCTCCCGAGCCACTGGGATTACAGGCATGCACCACCATGCCCAGCTTTTATCTTTATTTTATTTATATTTTTTTATGTGCTGCTGAGGATCTAACCCAGTGCTTAATAGATGCTAGGCAAGCACTCTACCATTGAGGTACAACCTCAGCCCCCTGAATTGCATTTTTTATATCTTTTACAGCTCCCAGGCATGCATGTCCCTCTCTTACCACACTCACAGAGGAAAGACCCTGAACTTCCTTAGCTCTGAGCCCTGGGTCTCCTCATTTGTGACACAGGGGTTTACCGAGCCCAGGCCCCTAGTGGTTCTTTCTGGGTACTCTGGTGTCTTGTTTTCCCTGCAGGCAGCTGCTCTTTCCCTATGTGTTCTCTTTCTTATCCAATAAACTACGTTTCCATCTTATACTGCCTCATGCAGATTTGAAGGGGTAGGAAAATAGATATTAAAAGACCCAAAGAGTTCCAAGATAGGAAGAGAAGAAAACCAAGCATGAGTGAACCTGATCACAGTAAGAACAGCAGGTACAGCTGCCACATCCTGGGGTGCTGCCTCTGGGCCGGCCGCTTTCTTCAGTGCTCCCCGCAGCCCTGTCAGGTGGATGTTCTGGTCAGAACCCTGAAAGGCGCAGAGGTTCAATCACTTTGCACAAGGAAGCCAGTAGTGAGAGAGGTGTCTGACTCCAGAAAAGACCAGGGAGCTGGCCAGGCCACCAAGATCTGAGGGTGGGTGACCTGCAGGGTATGGAACTCTATCTGTCCACAGAAATGTAGAAGAAAAAACTTTGTAAAGCAGGCCACTGGGAGCCACTAGAAACTCAGCAGTCACTTTGAAGCTGACACTAGGAAGACCAAGCTTTCTTCCTCAGAGGCTTCCTTCCCTCAGTGGCCTTTGGCCTTCCAGCAGGGGCTACAGTAAGGTAGGTGTGACTGAGTGGCCCCCACAGACTCAGCTCTGAAATTCTTAGACTCCATGAGCCAGACTGCTCCAGGCCTTCTGGCACCATGCTCCATGAAATTTTCCAAAAGTCTCTGACTCTGAGGACCATGTAGAGAAATCTGTATCCACCCTATTCTGTTGGATTTATGGAAGAGTAGCTGTAGGGAATTAAAAGGTTCTTGGCCAGGCCTCGACAAACAAGGGTTATAGGGGAACAGTGACTGGCTGCAGGTTTCCTGATCTGGCAAATTCTGTGAAAAAAGTGGTAAGTTACAGCTGCTCCCCTCATCCTTAGGACTCTGTGCACTGCACACATGCTGATCCTTAGCCCCATTCAGCTAAAAGTGGGAGGAAGCCTCCTTATTTTTCTCTTTTCTTTCTGTGGTCCCAGTCTTACTGAGGACACAGAACAGAGCATGAGAACAGGACATCTCACAAACTCAGTAAGTGGCCCCGTGACATCCCAGAGTGGGCCTTAGCCTGCCCCCAGCACTGTCCCCCACAAACACAAACACAATGTATTTCCTTGTCACTGCTGGGGAGTCAGCCCACTGCAAGAGGAAATTGCAGGGAGCTGTGGCAAATACTGTATGAGTTGTAAAAGGGTTTTAAGTCAAGCCAAAAATCTATCAAATTTAGAATAACATTTTTGCTCTGTTTCATCTTTAGGGTGGATATTGAGTGTTTTTAAAGGTCTGTCAAGCCAAAGTTTGACAGATGGAAAAGAAAGAATGTTGTTGTGATGGCTTGTTCTGTTGCCATAACAACCCAGATAAATATTACTCCTATCTTCATCTTCCCTATGATAAACATTTTGTTTTTTAGTTTACTAATTTTAGTTCCAGAAACTAAACCTATAGACCAGGCTGAATAAAATCAGAACTTAAACAAGTTCACATAAAGAATTTTAGATGGCACAAAGCTTATAATGTTCAAGGTTATTTTCTTTTCGTAGTGCAGTAAACCATAAGCCGAGTGAAAGCCTACTGGCTAATGACAAATAGGATTAGGTGATCAGATCTTGGCAACTATTGGCGTTTAAGCCTTGGTTTTGACATATGGTTAACTGCATCAGTTTTCATAAACTTAAATGATCTTCTAGAATCAGCTGCCCTTGGCAATGTTTGCCATCTCAGAACACAAGGTTTGAGAATATGTCCCCTAGGCAGATGAGTTTGCTGCCACGTTGGTGCTTGATAGCCAGAATACTACTTCACAGGTCAGGTTGGTCCTCAGTAGTTGATAAAGTCTTGCAGACAAATATATTTAATTCAGCAAACTTCTATGAAGAAACCAATTTTAATATCATAATGGCAAGCTCTGACTTAACACTTAGTATTAGCCATCTATTTTTATACTCGAACACCAAGAAGATACCATTTGAAGCAAGACCTAAAGGATAAATAGCCACAGATACTATAATCTTCTAATCCAAAGCCATCACTCACATGTCCTTGGCCGAAAGCATCTTCCGGTTCTTCTGTTGGATTCAGCTCCCACCCAGCCACACTGGCTTTGTGTCAGCCCTTCCCCTTTGGGACTTAACTTCAGTGCCTCAAAACCACTCAGACTCAGTTATCAGTTTCTTAGAGTGAGATGTCACCATCGTTCTGTCCAACTCTGCTAACAAACTCTACAGTGACCTTCCTGTGACACCCTAGTTCTTTTTGTGGTCTCAAACAAAACTCCCACTTCAAGTCCCTGGCTTGTTTTCTGTCTTATGAGGAGAGTTTGTAGATAGATGTTAAGCTGGAAGGACATTGGAGATTACCTTTTACAGGAGACTCTGGAGACATGAAGAGCTCCTCCTGAGATTACACAGGAGGTGACAGAATTGGCTTTCCTGAGGCCCAGCCTGTGTCCTTTTAAGTTCAGTGACACATTACTTCAGGGTTTCGAAGTACAGTCATGGAAACATGGCAGCCAATTCGTGGTGACACCCACTTTCTGCAAGGCTTCACCAGGCCCAAGGTCAGACCCCAGTTTACCTTTCACTGCTCTTCCTGGGAGTGATGCCCACAGGAGCTGGGGGGCTAGAGGGCACTGACTAGATCAGCCCTCAGTTCCTAACTAGTTAATTAGGAAAACTTCCTGATTCTTTGACAGTGTCTTAAGGAAGCTCTGTGCTAGACTGTCACTGGTTCATAGATGAATTGGAAGCCTGCAGGGTACAGGATCCCTAAATATGGCACGGAGGCTTAATAGGGACCAGAATGGAAGTATCTGCTCCAGGGAAACTTTAGCGTTTCACAAGTGCATCCTGATATTCTGGAATAATATTTTTCAGCCTTCAGCCCTCAGGAACTACCACCCAATAGCAAAACGCTCAGAGGCCTGACCCTTCTTGCTATGCCCACCATTGAGCCCTGTGGCCTGCTACCCTCCCACTGGGGCCTTCTCTTCCCTCTCCCTCTTCTGTACAATTGGTCACAGCTGTGGGAGCTGGTGTTTCTTTCCTCCACCCACACTGTAATGCAAGCCAGCTGCCAGGATGCTCTTCCTCACCCTTCCTTCAAAGACAGCCCCTCCTCCAACCAGCTGATGCCCAGTGAGACTGCTCCCAGCTGGCTTGAAAAGTCACCCTCAGCCTCCCAGAACCATTCCCTTTGCATATTCCTAAGAGACCCCTGGTCCCAGCAGTGCTCACCCTCCTGCTTCAAGTCAGGGAGGAAAATTTCATTAGAACTTGCAGCACCGATTGAGGAAGACATACCCTACCCTCACTACGGTTTTCTCTTCTCTACCTCTCCGGGAACTGCTGCCACCACCAACTGTATTATTTGCAGGATTTGACCTTTCCTTTCTTGTATTGCACAAGGCAATTTTTTTTTTTAGAATAATGACATGGGCTAGAGAGCCAGAGGAAAGAGACACTCCTCGAATAGATGCCTGCCTGCTTCTCTGCTCTGTGCACCCAGTGCTCCCTTTGTGCTCCAGCTACCTACTGAGGTGGTGCTGATAACCAGGTGTGGAAACTTGGCTCCAGCTGCAGGGGCAGATTTGACAGCCCCTAAGCTACACAGCCAGCAGTATACCTGTTGTCCCTGTCAGAACGGAGTGCAGTTACTCCTTAGCTCAATGCCTTCCAGTTCACTGAATGAATTTCATCTGTGACTTTTATTTACACATCCTATGTATCTAGCGCCAGCATTGCTTAGCACATTTCCTAATCTCAATCCAACCATCTTCTCTTCCACCTGGTTCACACTCACTCACTGAGGTGATGCACACTTGTAATCCTAGCTACTCAGGAGGCTGAGACAGGAGGATGGCAAATTCAAGGCTAACATGGGCAACTTAACAAGAGGCTGTCTCAAAATAAGAAATAAAAAGGGTTGGGATTGTCACTCGGTAGTAGAGCATCCCTGGGTTCAATCCCCAGTACTAATAGATAGACAGATAGGGCTGGGGTTTATAAGTCAGTGGTACAGTGGGTGCCCCTGGGTTCCATCCCCAGTACTGGGGTGTGGGGAGAATGTGGTACATTGTTATTAACTATAGTGATCATATTGCATATTGTACAATAGATCTACAATTTCTCCTATCCATGTGCTAATGTATATTTTAAACATGTTTCACGAGGGTGCTGAATTCAAGAGGAACACATTGAAAACTAAGTAGTTTGAGTTGTTTTATTTTGTTCTGCTTTGACTTTTTTTTTTTTTTTTAAAGGTACCTGGGATTGAACTCAAGGGCACTGTGTTTTATTTAAAGACAGGGTCTCACTGAGTTGCTTAGCACCTCACTTTTGCTGAGGCTAGCTTTGAACTCATCATCCTCCTGCCTCAGTCTCCCAAGCCGCTGGGATTACAGGCATGTGCCACTATGCCCAGCCATGATCATTTGTTTGGAAGAGGGATTTCCAGGGCTGGGGATGTGGCTTTGTGGTAGAGCACTTAGATGACATGTTTGGGGCCCTGGGTTTGATCCCTAGCATTGCAACAAAAAAAAAGCAAGAGAATCAAAGAGAGATTCCCAATATTTCTCCATGTTTTGTTTTAGTACTTTAAAGGGTTACCTCTAAGTTATTTAGCATATTGTCCTTTGGTCAGGATTCTAGGTAAGGGGTAACTGTATATGAGTTTCACTTTTACAAAATGGATCAATTGTGGGCTGGGGTTGTAGCTCAGTGGTTGAGCACTTGCCCTGGGTTTGATCCTCAGCATCACATAAAAATAAATAAATAAAAATAAAGGTATTTTTTTAAAAACTTCAAAAAGGAAAACAAAATGGAACAATTGTGATTGTTGTCCTGTAAGTACCAAAGGATAAATCCTCATTTTCCCTGATTGCATCCAGGCTTTCTTGAGGCTTAGTACTTTATAAAATACAGCGGTTTATCCAACTCACAATTCCAGTGGCTGAAAGGTCCAAACAACATGGTGTCAGCTCCCCGGCAAGGGTCTCCATGGCCCCATCAATGTGATGGAAAATTGGAAACTGGCCCAATACATGAGGGGCAATGAGTTGGCAAGAAGCAAGAGAGGAGGGAGTGGCTGGCCTCTGTCTTTTTATAACAGCTCACACCAAAACCCTTCCTGGGCACAGCTTGACTCCGTGAGGTGGTGAACCCCATCACTGATGACCTTGCCCCAGGCCCCCCTCTGAAAGTTTCCACCACCTCACCACTGCCACACGGGGGCCAGGCTGCCAGCTCATGAACCCTTGGGGGACAGATCACATCCAAACAGCAGTGATTTGGGATTTTGTTTGGGTGGGGGGATTGTTTTGTTTTGTTTGTATGATTTTCATCAAAATTGTACAAGGGTGGATGTGGCTTTCACAGGGAAGGACACTCTTGGGTTGGTTATCTGGGCAGAGCATCAGCCCCTGCAGCTGTATCCTAAGGCCTTGTGCATAGGCTCAGAGCATCTCCGATCCCGGTGCTGGGACTGAGTGACTGGGTATGTGTAATCCCTGTGTGATGCTTCTAACCAGCATGCCTTGGGGAGAAGTCCAGACGCTCCTCTCCAGTCTTCCATGAGGCTGCCTGTCCTCACCCTAGCTGAACCGGGCTTTCCTTCCCATCTCTCCCTCTGCAGCACCTTATCCAAGTGCTGTCATGCCATGGTGGCGCTCATCTACCCCTTCAGCTGGCAGCACACCTACATCCCCGTGCTGCCACCTGCCATGATCGACATAGCGTGCTCACCCACCCCCTTCCTCATTGGGCTGCTGTCCAGCTCGCTGCCACTGCTCAGGGAGCTGCCACTGGAAGAGGTGAGCCCCAGCCCATCCCCAGTGGGGTGCACAGAGCCGGGGGAGGGGGGCAGTACTGGGAGGGCTGTGCCAGCAAGTGAAGGCTCTTCAGAGCCAGGAGTGTCGGGAGCAGGCAGAAAGCTGTCCAGCCACTGCTCCGCCCGTGACAGGTCCTGGCTCAGGTCCGCTTTAGTGCACCCTCGGGTGGCTGCAAACACTGTGTTTTTCTTTCTAAATTAAATGACTGAGGTTGGGGGGGTAGTTCAGTGGGAGAGCACTTGCCTAGTGTGTTGCCAGGCAGGCCCTGGGTTCAGTCCCCAGAACTGCAAAAAATAAAGTAAAATACAAATAAATAAAATGAAGGGTGGAGCAGCCATTGAGAAGGACAACGGGGAACAACCTAGCAAGCCATCAGCTCTGCCTTCAGACACAGCCGTTTGTCCTGTCCCCCTCTTCCCTCCCACCCCCAGTGCAAAGGGAGGAACAAACACAAAGAACTAGCAGTAACTGGAATGTATTTTTTATTTTGTGTGGTACAAGGAATTGAACCTGTGGCACTCTACCACTGCACTACACTCCCAGCACTTTTTATTTTTTATTTTGAGGCAAATAAAGTTTGCTTAGGGCCTCACTAAATTGCCAAAGCTGGCCTCAAACTTCTGATCCTCCTGCCCCAGCCTCCAAGGCCCTGAGATTACAGGTATGTGCCACCATACCCAATTTCAAATGCATTTTTGATCTTATGACAAAACAGACAATGACTGCACCTATGAAAGGTCCTTTGTCATTTCAGTTAAAAAAACAACCTCCAGAACATTGCTAATGGTCAAACTCTGGGTTCTTAGATTAGTGTCTTAGGAGGAAAGTGCTGCTTGGCACTTCTGGAGTTATTTAATCCCAACCCCTTTCTCTAAAGTGGCTACCCTTGTGTCCTGGGGACTTCCAGCAGTCAGAGACCAAACCTTAGGGGACTGAACAGTGCCATTCAGTCCTAAACCTAGTAGCATCTGTCTCTCTATTTTTCCCCAGGGCTCGAGATACTGGTCCTCTAATTGCCCAGGGTCCTAAAGGTAAAGGGTTTGTGCAGGTGCAGTGTGAGCACATGGTTCATTTGGGCCCCAGAAGAAGGGTGTGTGGGACCGCCCTCTGATCTGCAGCAGTTCTCTGAGCCCACCTGTATCTGGCTGTGGTTGGGAGACCATCCAGACCCCTTGTCTTCTTCCATCATAGCCAGGGCCTCTACTAGGCTCAAGCGAAGGTCCTACTCACAGGGGCAGCACTTGCCTACTAGGCCTCACTCCCCGCACCCTGGCCCTTGCACCCCACCCTGACCCTGAGGAGAGGGGGAGAAGGTGCTTTGTCCTGAAAGCCTTAGCTAATGAAAGGCTGCTGCCTGCAGCTTGGTTGAATCCCTCTGCTTGTCTCTCCTGTTCCTTTGAGCGAAGTGACAAGATTCAGTGGACAACTGGGAAGAAAGAGGGAGAAGCCCCAGGTGGGGAGTGGCAAAACTGAGAGGGACGGGAACAAGTGGGGACCTTCAGCATCTTTTACCCACCTCAATAACCAGCACACTTTAAAAAAGAACCCAGGAACTTCTGTCTTGGCCCATCAGAACCAGGCGGGAGCCGTCAGGCAGCAGAGGGACCTGGTGGCTGCTTTCTCCCTGTCCGCCATCTGTGGTGGCAGTCGCAACACCAGGAGGCCAGCATGGCCCACCCTTCACCCCAGATGCCTCTTAGCCAAGGAGGAAGAAGGCTGAGTCCACCTTTATCCCAGAGGCCCCGGTGACAATACTTGTCCCTTTTCCTCTGTCCCGTAGGTCCTGGTGGTCGACCTCATCAACAGTCGGTTCCTCAGACAGGTGAGTGCGAGGGCCAGCCCCGCCTGCTGCTCCCTTTTTCTTACCTGTCTCTTCCTGGGGTTCAGCTCCCTAGCTCTGGGCAGGCTCTGTGGTGGGCCTGGGGTTGCTGGTGGAGCTGGACAACTAGACAGCCTCAGGCCAGGAGGCGAAAAGGAGGGTGATTCTGTGTGCTCTGACACGAAAAGATTTTCTAACATTCAGAATCAGGTGCAGTGGCATATGTCTAGTCTACAGTGACTCAGGAGGCTGAGACAGGAGCATCACAAGTTCAAAGCCAGCCTCAGCAATTTAATGAGACCCTGTGTCAAAATAAAAAAATAAAAAAGGGGCCGGGCATGTGGCTCAATAGATGAATGCCCCTGGGTTCAATTCCTGGTACAAAAAAAAAAAAAAAAGTCAGGACACAAATTGTAAGCATTATTTTTATAGAAGGAAGATATATATGTGGGGTTTTTTTTGTTTGTTTTTTTGAGAGAGAGAGAGAGAGAGAGAGAGAGAGAGAGAATTTTTTTAATATTTATTTTTTAGTTCTCGGCGGACACAATATCTTTGTTGGTATGTGGTGCTGAGGATCGAACCCCGGGCCGCACGCATGCCAGGCAAGCGCGCTACCGCTTGAGCCACATCCCCAGCCCTATATATGTGTTTTTAAAAGATTAAAAGGAAACCTATAAACATTAAAATACAAATAAAAATTTTTTTTGAAAATTGAAAGGAGGGTCTGGGGTGAAGCTCAATGGTAGACTGCTGTGCGAGGCCTTGGGTTCAGTTCCAAACACTGCAAAAAGAAAGATGATTTCAAGAAAAACTTACTGACACATTAATGCTGATTTATTAGGAAGAGAGACTGAGAGACAAGTTATGAGTGATTTTAAATTGTTTTAATAAACTTTCATATATTTCTTTATTTTTCTTTTTGTTATTGTTTGTGTGTACTAAGGATTGATTCCAGGGGTACTTTACCACTGATTTATCACTGAGCTACACTCCCAGGTCTTTTTCTTTCTCATTTTTTTTTTTTTTTTTTAGAACTGGTGTTTGAACCCAAGGATATTTTACCACTGAGCTACATCTTCAGTCCTTTTTATTTTTTTTTTTTTTTTGAGACAGGGTCTCCCTGAGTTGACCAGACTGGCCTCCTTCCTCTGCTTTCTGAGTCACTGAGATTACAGGCATGCACCACCACACCCAGCTTCACATATTTTCTGTAGCGATTTTAAATTACTTTCATTATCAGAGGAAAGCAGTGCACATTTATTTTATTTTTATCATTTACTCAAGAAGTCTAACTCCCATTAGATCTTGCAAAGAATAACAAAGAAAGGCTGGGAATGGTGAGGAGGCTGAGGCAAGAGGATCACCAGTTTGAGGTGGGCTTCAGTAATTTAATAAGGCCTTGTCTCAAAATTTAAAAAAAAAAAATTTAAAGGGCTAGGGATGTGGGTCAGTGGTAAGTACCCCCAAGTTCAATACCCAGTGCCATTTAAAATGGCAAAGCAATAATAAATAATAATGACAGAGCCAGGCACCATGCCTCATGCCTGTAATCCCAGTGGCTCAGGAGGTTGAAGTAGGAGGATCAAGAGTTCAAAGCCAGCCTCACCAAAAGCAAGGTGCTAAGCAACTCAGTGAGACCCTGTCTCTAAATAAAATATAAAATAGGGCTGGGGATGTGACTCAGTGGTCGAGTGCCCGTGAGTTCAATCCCCAGTACCCGCCCCGCAAAAAAAAAAAAAAATGATGACAGAAAGTCTTCCTAGGCATTCTGATGGGTTGCTGTGAGCTTGGAGTAAGCATCCTGAGGAAGAACTGAGTAGCGTCAATGCCTTTCATCGTTAGTTCATCTGCTTTCACTCCCAGAGGCCCCAGAGTTGGCCCTCACTGAGGCTCTCCTGTCTGAGCCCAGATCACAAGGCCAGCTTTGGATCACACTGGTCTTTTGAACTGGACAGAATTCCCCCATGAACACAAGCTGCCCTACAGGGTGTGGACAGTGGAAAATACCTATTGAGTGTCCGCGAAGTGCCAAGCGCTTGCACAAGAGAATTGTATGCTTTTAATCTTGGAGATGAGGCACATATTGATTGGTAGCCCATTTTACAAATGGAGGAGAAATTGAGGCTCACACAGCTTATAAAAAGTAGGATTGGAACTCAGACCTCAGGTGCTGGTTCCAAATCCTGTTCCTTCCACTAACCTGGGAAGTGAGCCAGCCTGCCGACCTATGGCCATTGTGTGGTGGCTCCCAGGAACACTAGCACAGTGGCCCAGCTGCTTCTGCTTTACAGATGGAGGACGAGGATTCCATCCTACCCCGGAAGCTTCAGGTGGCCCTGGAACACCTTCTGGAGCAGCGGAATGAGCTGGCCTGTGACCAGGATGGAGGGCCCCTGGACAGCACAGCTGGTAAAGGCAGCTCCCTCCACGACACAAGGGCCTCAGAGCAGCTGCACAATGGCCCGCATTCCCCTGGGGAAATTTTTCCATCTCCCCCATTTGGGCACTAAAATATCTGTGTAAAGGGGGAAAGAAATGACTTAACGTTAGGTAACTTTTCCTAGATGACAGTTTGCCACAGCTAGCAATCACTTGGTCACTAATTGGCTTCACTCAGGCACTAGCATGGCCGTCTGCCTTCATTGCCTCTGGCCTTTCCCCTCCCTACCAGGCCCTGATGCCAGCCCCCTGAACCAGGTGGTGTCCGAAGCCTTTGTGCGCTTCTTCGTGGAGATCGTGGGCCACTACTCCTTGTTCCTGACGCCCGGGGAGCGCGAGGAGAGGACCTTGCAGCGAGAGGCCTTCCGTAAAGCTGTCTCCTCCAAGAGCCTCCGCCGCTTCCTGGAGGTCTTCATGGAGACCCAGATGTTTCGGGGCTTCATCCAGGAGCGGGAGCTGCGCCGGCAGGATGCCAAGGGTTAGGGATTCTTCCGCGTTGGGGCCAGTGAGCTGGAGATTCCAGAAGAGCAGGGAGGAGGGTCACGGGCCTGGGCGCAGAGGCCAACAGTTTTCTGGCTCCCTCTGGCCTCCTAGGGGAGCTCCTTCACCTGCCTCTGAGCTTGTGAAATCACCCCTCTGCCCCTCCCTGCCCCTCCCTCGCTTCTCTTGCCTCCCTCCTGGCCTTTTTTGTTTGTTTGTTTTTGTTTTTGTTTTGGGAACCGGATTGAACTGGGGGCACTCGACCACTGAACCACATCCCCAGCCCTATTCTGTATTTTATTTAGAGATGGGTCTCACCGAGTTGCTTAGCACCTCACTTTTGCTGAGGCTGGCTTTGAACTCTAGATCCTCCTGCCTCAGCCTTCCCAGTTGCTAGGATTACAGGCTTGAGCCACCATGCCTGGCCCCTCACAGCCTCTTGCAGAGCCACATTCCAGCATCTGGCAAGGTCCCCTTCTTTTTTATTTGTCCTTCCTGATGAAACCCAGGAACACCCTCTCCTCCCCTATTTTCAGGCCTCCACTCCCCTCCACTCTTCTTTTTGCCTACTCTCCACAGATGGGAAGGGGACAGTGGAAAGGGAGACGGGCCCCACAGGCTTGGGCAGCTTGTCCCTGCCTTTGTCTGCCTGGGTTCCACTCGACTTCCAGGGAGAGAGGAGGGGAAACCATCCCAGTCTGTTTTGCACCTTGTCTTAAGCCCTCTGGGGAATCTAAAATCTAGAAATGCTTGCAGAGCAGTGGTAGATGGGAGTTAAACCTGGGCAGGGAAAGGTGTTGCCTTCCCGAGGGTCGCTGTGCAGCCAGCAGGGAAGGTTCACCTAAGCACCTGGAGCCAGGCAGGGTGTACTCTGGTCTGTGAACTCAGAAACTGAGTAAAGCACCCAAGGCCTGCATCCCCACAGCCCTTTAACAGGAAAGGCAGAGCAGGCAGGCTTCAGGTGGTTCTGATAAGGGGTACCTGAAGGGAGAAGAAAATGGGTCAGAAAGTAGAAGTCACAGGACACACCCCAAGAAAGAGTTCTTTTAAATAGAAGACTACTGGGAACATGGAAATGTGTTTACAGTTCACTGTGTGGTAAGAGACAAAGGCTTAACAGGAATGTGGTAGGAAGCCCTGTCCCTAAAGAGTCCTCAAAAAGGCACAGCATGTGGGGTCAGAGCGCAGGGGGCCCAGAGAGGCATGTCTAGCCTCCCTGAGGCCCCAGGCAGGCCCGATTTCCAGGGAACTGCACCACTTGGCCAGGGTCCCCATTGGGAAAGTATGCAGAAATGGGAGAATTTAGGGGCTCCTCCATCCCTGGTTCTTCTTTGAACCCGAGACCCTGGCACAGGGTAGATGCTTGGAAGGTGTCTGTTGAGTAAAAATGGGATTTCACCTATGAGCTTGCTTTATAGCTTTCCAAAAAACGGCTATTGTGCAAGGTTGGGCAATTGTAAGGGGGGGAAAAAAAAACCCTTATAAAACTCATGATTCAGAGCATGTTTATAGGATCAGCTTCATCTCAGAAGCAAGATTGCTCTTTCCTATGGTGGGGAAGAAATGGGCTGGTGTGGAAGTGCAATGCGGAGGAACTAAAGTGGCTGGCCATCTCTTGTTGCCAGGTCTGTTTGAGGTCCGAGCCCAAGAATATCTAGAGACACTCCCCAGCGGAGAGCACAGCGGTGTCAATAAATTCCTGAAAGGACTGGGTAAGCCTGGGTCTCATCCCTGGAGCCAGAGCCTGTCCCTGAATAATCCAGAGCTCCACCACCCCCGCCTGGAGGGCAAAATGGTCATTTTATCCTCCTATCCTAATCTGCCCCCAAAATGGAGACCAAGGAAGCAAATCCCTCCTTTATTGCCACCCCACCCCACCCACCCACCCCCGTCTTGCTCTTCTTTCACTATTGTCACCTTCACTCCTAGTCTTCTGGGGACAGAGCACTGTAGGAGGCAGCAGAGTAGCCTCCAGATGCCCCTGAAGTGGACAGGTAGGCAGCGGCAGGACTGCAGTTCCCCCGGCTCGGAGGCCCTTGCTGGGAAACGGAGAATGAGGAGGAAGAGAGCAAAGGCGTTGAAGAGGGAGGTCCCAGGAGGCAGCCCCCAAGAGGGGCCCAGTACCTCCAGCTGCTGGAGTGTCCCTGGGTGGCTCCTGGGAAGTGTGCCACTCCCGGCTTCGTCATAACCACACCAGACACCAGCACCCTCTACAGCTCAGGGGGTCTTCCTTTCAGACCCCCAAGTGTTAGACTCCTGCCATCAGAGCAGCAACAGGTACCTGAGAAGCCAGAGGGGCAACTCTGAAAAGGGGGAACCCCCACCTCTCCAGAGCAAGGGGGGGCTCCAGATAGCACCATATCTGGGGTGATATCATTTTCCTCCTTTTTTGCTGCACAGGGAATTGAACCTGGTGCTTTATCACTTACCTGCCCACCCTTTTTGTTTGTTTGTTTTTGTTTTTGCTTTTTAGTTGGAGATGGACACAATATCTTTATTTTATTTATTTATTTTATGTAGTGCTGAGAATCCAACTCAGTGCCTCTCCCGTGCTAGGAAAGCCACAACTTCAGCCCCCCACTCCTTTTCATTTTTTGAGTCAAGGTCTTACTTAATTACTAACCATCTCACTAAATTGCCTGGCTGGCCTTGAACCTGTGATTTTGCTGTCTCAGCTTCCCAGGTCTCTGGGATTTCAGCCGTGTGCCGCCTAGCCCATACCTGGGGTGAAGAGGGAGCAACGTGTAACTCACCTTTCTTTGTCCACCTGATGATGAATGTTCTCATTTTCTTTTTTAGGCAATAAAATGAAGTTTCTCCACAAGAAATAATCAACTCAACCTCAAGGGAAATTTCCTCCCAGTATGACCACCAGTTTTAAACACAGTTCCTGGTGGCCTTTCTGAAAGGTGGCCCCAGGTTGTCCCAGCACAGAATCCAGGGCAAGTGCAGCCACCAGCTGTCCGAGGCACTTCTTCAGAACTGCCCTGCAAGGGAGCCACCCACATGCAAACATACTTGGTGGTTGGTTTTTGGATTTGGGCTTTTTAATCTCAATATTAAAAAAAAAAAAAAAGAAAGAAAGAACGAAAGAAAGAAAAGTGTTCAGGTTTCCTTTTTATTATGCCAGGGCTAAGAAAACTATGCCCTACTTTATCTCCCCCTGGGTCCAGAGGAGGGGAGGAGATGGGAAGGAGCAGCTACTGAGGAATAGGATCAATAGGATCCGGTGTGCCTGGGAACAGGTGGGGGCTTCGAGGGGAGGACAGAGTGAGGACTGGTGACCCCTGCAGACAGACGCCCCCGTGCAGAATCGGCCCTTTCTTGGGTGGAATGGAGTCCAAGCAGAAGGAGTGGCTCTTCCCAGCTGGTCAGTGATGCCACCTGGTGGCTGAGGCCACAGACCTCTGTCTTCCCAAAGAGACTTGACTCTTAACTGCCTTTTTTCTCTTAGAAGCCATAGAACCACCCACACTCATTTAGCCCGTGACTTTTAGTGATACACAAAAAGAAGAAATCTTGTAAACTGTTAATAAAATGTTGTTGGGGTCCTAAAATTTATGCTATAGGGTTGGGAGGTAGCTCAGTGGCATAGTGTTTGCCTCACATATGTGAAGCCCTGGATTCAATCCCCAGTCCCAAAAAAGAAGAAAAGACCCCAAGTAAAGTTTATGATTCTGTGTGAATCCCAGGCCACTAAGCTGTGTGAAGAGCTCCCATCTCATTTCAGGGACCCATCTCAGCCTAAATGACAGTACCATGCAGGACAAATGGGAGGGGCTTTTGTCATTGATGTTGTAAACAAGAGCCAGGAGCAAGGTGGTGGGGATGGCTTCCTTAGACTTACACAGCCAGAGATTTTTGTGTCCTGTGGACCAGAAGAGGCAAGGTCCAGGAGGAGCCACAGTCTGAGAGCTGTCCTGTGGGGGGGCAGTAGGGAAGTAGCCCCGTGTGCAGCACACACAGATTCTCAGAGTGGTCCTCAGGGCCAGCCACCACCCCTGCATACCCTATTGCTGGGTCCCCTCTGGATGCCAGGAAAATGAGGAAGAGTTGTTGACACCCATTCTGCATTAGATGTTCTTACTTCAGCTGGAGTCAGGGCCATACCATTCTACACTTGAAGCCCAGGTGGTGCCACTATTTGTGTTTTCAAGGGAGAGGACCTGTGGTTACATCAGATTCCCAAAGACTTCCCCAAAATGGTAGGGACCAGGCTCTACATAAAAATTAACCCAAGTAGGTGGGGAAGCTGGAATGAGATCTGAGTGTAGGAATTTGTATCTAGCAAGCTCCTCAGATTTGTTAACTATTAATAGCAAAATTCTGTGTATTTTTATATTGCTCAGAAATTATCTCTTAACATTTTGGAATATACTTTCTTCTCTAACTTATTTTCTATTATTTGTTTACCTAAGACCTTCAGTGAATAAACATACATCTTTATCAACATTCCTAATGATTTGTAATACTCTATTTTATGGATATACTAAAAGCAGTCTCTCCAATCCTTTACTGTTTTGTTGTTGTTGTTGTTGCTGTTTGTTTGTTTCTTCTGTTTTTCAGTGCTGAGGATTATTCTAGGGCCTTGCATATGCTAGGCAAATGCTCTACCACTAAGCTACTTCCCCAGCTCTTTTTTATTTATTTTATTAATTTTATTTTATTTCAATACCGGGGATTGAAAGCAGGGGCACTCTACCACTGAGCCAGAGAGCTACATCTTGAGCCCTTTTAATTTTTATTCTGAGATAACGTTCACTAAATTACCCAGGCTTAGCCAGGAGCAGTGGCACAGGCCTGTAATCCCAAGGACTCTGGAGCCTGAGGCAGAAGGATGTCAAGTTTAAGGCCAGCATCAGCAACTTAACCCTGAATCAAAATAAAAAATAAAAAGGGCTGGGAATGTAGCTTGGGTGATAAAGCACCACTGAGTTCAATCCTCAGTTAAAAAACAAAAAAAAACCTAAGTTGCGCAGGCTGGCCTCAAACTTTCCATCTTCCTGCCTCAGCCTCCCAAGTTGCTGGCATTACAGGTGAGCATTTTTGTTGTTCTTTTTAGATATATGACAGTATATCTAATATATATGATATATATGACAATAGAGTGTATTTTGACATACACAGAGATAATCGTTCTAATTAGGTTGTACATGACGTGGAGTTTCACTGGTCTTGAATTCATATATGAACAGTGGAAAGTTATGTCTGACTCATTCTACTGTCTCCTATTCCCATCCCCACCTCAGATACCTTGTTTTTTAATGTCAAGTGCTGCCTAGGAGACCACACTAATAAACCTAAGGTTGCTTGGAGAGGATGAAGTCAAAACAAAGAGGGTTGGAGAGCTGAGGGACACTCCTCCAGGAAGCCTGACCAACCTCCCTGTGTGACTGGACAGTGCATTCTCCTGTCTACCAGGTCTCTGTCTGTTCCCCCTGGCAGTGCTGGACAATCCTGCTAAGTCCTTGAGCTTTAGCATTCTCCACCCCATCCCTTGAATTTTATTGGGGTGAAAGTAACATAACATAAAAATTAACCATTTTAAGGTGAGCAGTTCAGTGGCATTTACTGCATTCTCAGTGGGCCGTCACAACCTCTCTCATGTTCCAGAATGTTTTCTTTTTTTTCTTTTTTTTTTTTTAACAGAGAGTGAGAGAGGGGAGAGAGAGAGAATTTTTTTAATATTTATTTTTTAGTTCTTGGCGGACACAACATCTTTGTTGGTATGTGGTGCTGAGGATCGAACCCGGGCCGCACGCATGCCAGGTGAGCGCGCTACTGCTTGAGCCACATCCCCAGCCCCCAGAATGTTTTCTTTACCCCAAATGGAACTCACCCTACTCAGAGCTCAGAGCTCAGCAGACTTGAGTAGACGGGAGGGGCTGATCCACAGAGGAGGAACTCTGGCCTGAGCAAAGATTAGAAAGGCAAAAGGCAGGTGAGCAGGGCCATTACTGCAGGCACCTGTCAAAGCCAATTAGCTATACTCTGTGGCTTGCCTGGTGACCACACCTTGGCCTCACCCAGCCGCTGAGTGGGGTTCAGCTGCCAACTTCTAACTTCTTTCTGGCTACAATTAACAAAGACCTGGTGCCAGCTTCCTCAGCAACAGACCAAAGGGCAGTCTCAGCTTTGACAGCCCCAGGCTCCCTGCCTGCCCGGGTGTTACTCTCCTCTTCCTTCACCCAGCATAATCCCAGGAGAGCTGACAGTTAAACCCTGCAACCAACCTCTCAGTGGGCTGAGCCTCCCCTGCTCAGCTAATCCCTGTGTCCCACCTCCATTGTGGGCGGAATGTGGACTGAGTTGTTTTTCTGGAGCCACTGAGACCCGCCCGCACTCCCTGGCCAGCCTATGGACAGATAGGAAAAGGCTTATGTAATGGGGCTTTAGAGAGCAGGACAGGACAAGCCACCCTTCAGGACTCCAGCAGAGCAGCAGGCTGGAGCTGCTTCCCATCCGGCTCCTGAAGCTTCCCTTGGACCTCTGGGGCAAGGCTGCTCTCCCCTCCCTGCTGCACTTTGGCTTAAGGGAAAGCTCTGGGTGGAAGTACCCCTACCCCTAGGCCCAGCACCCTGTACTCAAGTTGGGATCAGCTGTGTCAGGGTGACACTGTGAGAGGTGATTACTCTTCCCTTCAGCATGTAGTCCCTTGGCCCATGTCCTGGGTTCTGGCCAGCCACATACCCCTTATGGCTGGTAAAGACTGTGCTCTAGGGGTGAAGCCTCAAGATGGCCCATATCTCTAGCTACCTCTGAGGGAGAAAGTGAAGGAAGGGTCTGCCACACCAAGTAAGAGCCGGCTATCCTGCTCTTGCAAGCCACAGCAAAATTAAAACAGGCCTGGGGCTGTGGCTCAGTGATGGGGCTGTGGCTCAGTGATAGCGCGCTTGCCTCGCATATGTGAGGTACTGGGTTCCATCCTTAGCAACACATAAAAATAAATAAAGATATTGTGTCCATGTATTACAAAAATATTTTAAAAAAAAATAAGACTAAGCCAGGCATGATGGAGCATGCCTATAAACATAGCCACTCAGGAGACTGAGACAGGAGGATTGCAAGTTTAAGGCCACCCTCAGCAATTTAGTGAGGCTCTAAGCAACTTGGCAAGACCCTTTCTCAAAAAATTTTTAAAAGGGGGCTAGGATCATGGCTTAGTGGTAGAGCACTTGCCTGGCATGTGTGAGGCACTGGGTTTGATCCTCAGCATCACAAATATATAAATAAATAAACAAAATAGAGGTCCAACAACAATTAAAAAAATAAAAAGGACTGGGGATATACTTCAGTGGTAGAGCACCCCTGAGTTCAATCCTCAGTACAAAAGAAAAAGAAAGGTGAAAACATTAAACCTTATGTCATGGATATGTTACCACACACCCACACACACGCTCCACAATAATAGTGCAAAGGCCCTTCTATTGCAATGAGTTGCATGAACTTACCATGAATGCAGTTATGTGAACCTTGGGCATGTGTTACCCCACCTGCGCAGTGCTATAGGACAAAGGCCAGCTGCTTCCTCTGTGCAGGCTTTTCCTTCCATTCCACGCTATCTGTCCTAAGAGTATAAGAGTACCTCCTAATAAATCTACATGCTAAACTTAAACGTTTCTCTCTTAAAACTTAGCTCTGTGGGGCTGGGAATGTAGCTCAGTAGTAGAGTGCCTGCCTCTCTACATGTGTGAGGCCCTGGGCTCAGTCCCCAGCAATGCAAAAAAAAATAATAATAATAAAATAAAAACTTTAATTTTCTTCCTATTCCAGGACTGGTCTAGGGAACTGAAGGAATTCTTTAACCCCTCCCCTGAGGTTTGGGAATGATAAGTAGAACCTCAAGACAATGTGCTTCCTACCAGGCCATCTGCTCCATTGAATTTTGCTAAAACTTGGCCTCTGTCCCCTCCTTTCCCTGCTGTCAGCTGGTCAGGTCAGCCCCTCCCTTGCCCAGACCCAGAACTCCATCTTCCCTTCCCACAAGGCCTCTCAGATAAGCTGCCGCAGAGAAACTGGCTGTGGTGATAACAATTCATGGTCCTGTCACCTGCTCTTGAGCTGCAACCCCCAAAGCAGGCTGAGACCGGTGGTAATGGGGAGGTCCCTGAGTTGAAGCTCTTACCAAACCCAGGACCTGAAGAAGTTCATCTCACGGAACAACCAACAGCCGAGAGATGAGTGTTGGGGAGACGGAAAGGCTTTCTTCAGCGGCCAGAGAATGGAGAAGAGGGAGCGTTGTTCACAAATGAAGGGGTTGCAGATATAGAGTACATAGGTGCGATCAGGGAGGGAGGGGCGCTGACAGAGGGGAGGAATGTTCATATCTTTTCTCAGAATAGGTGGAGAACACAAGGGCCACCCGTTTTCACTATTTTGGGGGTCTGGTGTTCTGACATGTGGCTGGTAGGTCTCTTTAGCCTTGAAGGTGGGGCAAGTCTAGGTCAAGTTAACCCTATACTGCAGTTCTGGACAAGACATGTCTCAGCTGACCAGCAGGTCCACATGCAAAAGAGTAGGATCTGACCCAGGGTTAAGGTATCAAAGGACACAGACACAATAAATAGGAAGGCAGAGATGCCAAGCATTTTCATCCCATTTCAGTTACCCACGGGGACATCCACAGGCCCAAGTGAAGAGTCACTGTTTTGGCAAAAACAGCCTTCATGTCCCTGAAGAGTACCTAGGCAACTATAAATGTCACACCGCCCAGGTCAGAGATGTAATCTACAACAAAGCTAGTGGGCTTTGTGACTTTTAAGTCAACTAAGAGGAAATGGGTTTGGGGCTCTAGCCCAGTGGCAGAGTGCATGCTGATCAAGTGAAATTGTATTTAGGTTTTTCCCCAATAATAGAGTATATCCTGAATATTATCCTCTGATTTATCATCCCCTCCTGACTCCTCCTAACCCCAAGTAGGTCCCCAAACACTAGAACCTCCCTTTTCAATTTATACTGCATATGAAAAATACTGATTATTCCTAATTAAGTCCCTGCTCTTGACCTCCAGGGCATTGCCCAGCTTGAACTCATACCAGTCAAAGAGATCCTTTTTTTTTTTTTTTTTTCCCCTGGTGCTGGGGATTAAACCCAGAGCCTCACACATTCTAGGAAAATGCTCTACCACTGAGCCACACCCAGATGAGATGAGAAAGCAATCATTTTAGAGTGATGAGAAGTTTTAGAATTCGATAGCAGTAATGGATGCAAAACAACTTTGTGGCCCTGCTAAAAATCAACCAATTTTACTGGGCTGGGGATGTGGCTCAAGCGGTAGGGCGCTCGCCTGGCATGTATACGGCCCGGGTTCGATCCTCAGTACCACATACAAACACAGATGTTGTGTCTGCCAAAAACTAAACAATAAAATTTTTAAAAAATCAACCAATTTTACACTTTAAAAGGGTCATGCGCTGGGGTGTATAGCTCAGTGATAGAGCATTTGCCTAGATGCATGAG